TATATTCTTAATATATAGTATATTAATATGTACAACTAAAATTACTAATAAAGATATGAGCAAGGCCTCACCTTAACGCCAAAAAAAAAAACAAATAGTATACAAGTTCCCATACACCTAAGTGCTATCTAACCTAAATGTAACCTTCTTTTCTGTATATTTGTTAAACTGTTATATATTTCAAAACATGTTATCTAACTGTAAGGCTCCAGGAGGCTTCTGCTAACTACTTATATTTAATCTTTTTGTTAACAGAGCTTATTCTTGTAGAGTTCACCTAAACCTTAGCACCAACTTCACAACATATTTTTAGTACTTATAGTATACTCCTGCTTCTAAACCCAGACTTCTAATTAAAATAGGCTAGTAGGACTATAATCTGTTCCTAATATCTAAAAGTCTGCTCTTTAAAGTTTTTTTCTTCTGATTCAAGATTTCTGATAGCCTGATTGGTAGTACACCTTATTCAAAATTCTTGTTTATCTGATTCCTTTCATATTGGGTATTTGTTTTATAGGTCTAGCTTTTACAGTAATACTGTCAAAAATCTGTGCTATCTTTCTACTTAGGTCTTCTTAAGTGGGCTCTGGTTTCTCAGTTCATATATTTACATAACTATAAGAACTTATCTTAAGTTTGCACTATCTGATGTCAGTTTGCATTTCTTTATATAACTTTAACATTGCACAAATATCCTATGACCTGCTAGTTATGCTGATGCAACTTTGTTACAGGTATTTGATCCCAACTAATTAATGAAATATTGTTGTTGTAATACTACTTACCTTCTGTAATACTGATATAATATAGGCAGTTTTTCAAATTTTCACCATCAATAGGTTTTGAACTTCCAATCTACCACTTGGGAGTTGACAACTTATCCATTTTACTAAGTCACCACACCTCTTATTTCTTATACTTGTTTATTGTTTATTCTAATTTGCTTTTATAACCTTTACATGTACTTATTTTTAGTAATGTTTTATTTTCTTCTTTATGCATTAGCCAATGCTTTGCTAGCACTTTTTTTTTTTTTTTTCTTGATTACTTTGCTAAATTGCTAGTTGTGTTTTGGTTTATATAAGATTTATTCTTTTTTCTTTCAGTTTTCTGATATCTTTATTTACTTAATCTTTAATACATACATATTGTAGTTATTTATTTTATAGTAATTATATATTTCTTTGCTTGCTTGTGTTTTTAGCATTTTTTTTTATTTTATTAAATCATTTGACTTTTTTTTCTTTACATAATAGTCTTTAAAGACTCTTAAACTGTCTTTATATGATTAGGTTGTTACTTTTTATATCTATAAGCTAGTTCAAATATAATAACCTCTATTCATTTAATGTGATACTGCTTGCTATTTATATTTTTGTTTCTAATATATTTTTTATTTGTTTATTATATCTATAAACTTTTTATAAACTTTTTCTTACTTTGATGCTTATTTTTATTTTTTTTGTATTAAATATTGTTTAACAAGCTAAGTTATTTTTTCAAAACTTCTTAACTTTTAATTTTCTTTTATTGTTCTAAATGTCTTTTGTTAGATCTGCTTTTTGGCATCCTTGAGCTATTCTAAGTTTTGTTAATTTACTCAAACTATCTTATTTATTGTGATTTGTAATTATATAAGTCTTTATATCTAATTATGCAATTGTTTGATGTTTTTATTATATTGCATTTATTTTTATTTTTGTTATATTAAACTAGTGTTGTTTGGAATTAGAGCTTTTTATTAAGTAGTTAGAATATAATAATTTATAGCTAAGGTCTTAAAAGAGTTTCTTATATTAAAAAGTACAACTAGCCATATATACATTTTTGGTGTCTAATTTAAGTAGTCTACTAATAGTTCTATACTAGCTGCTATACCTGCAATCTAACTAAAGGCATTGTCTATTTAAATTTTTTGTACTGCAATTCTTACTATATTACTAAATTATCTCTGATACATATATCAGTTAAGAAGGTCTAAATGCTTTATCTATACTTTTAGATCCTTATATCTTGTTTTATGCAATGTATTTTTAGAAGCATCATTACTAGAACCTTTTATTTCTTATATATGCTAATCTAATTTTATATAACACATTATAGTTATCTAATATATGCAGTTAAAACTAGTCTTAAACTACTACATTATATGTACTATTTTTATTCTTGTAAAGTTTATCCAAACTCTAGTACCTATCTTTTTAACTTCTTTTCTCTATTCTTTTACTATTTAACTCAAAATCTAACAAACTCTTCAGATTTTTAATTTAGATAGCCCAGTATAGTATATTTTAGTATTTTTTTTCTTTAATAATTCTGGTAGCCTAGTTGGTTATATGCTTCTTTATATATCTTGTCATCTAGTTACATGTTTGCCTATTTTTTATTAAGATTTCCTAAGCTTTTATTAGTCTAATAGCACTGTTGAAGATTTGTGCTACCTTTTTACTCAGAAATTTCCAAGTAAAATTCTATCTTCTTAATTTCTTGGTTATTTATATCTACTAATCTTATTATAAATTTGCATTAAAGTCTTATGCAACATTGGTTATTAATATTTTTCTATATATATTTAATGTTATAGTTTGCATAGATGCCCCAAGCTCCTAATAATAAATAGAATCTTATTGGTTGTATCCAAAATTACAGATATCTAAATCCAACTAATTGACAAGCAGCAGTTTTTTGTAATACAGATTAATTTTCAAATTTTATCATAGATGAGATTTAAATTTTAGACCTGCTATTTAAAAAATAACAACCCAACTACTATACTAAGATCAATATTTTTATTATATTGAATTTATGTTTAGCTAAGCATTTTTAATAATTAATATATTTTATTAATTACCCTTTCTGGCATCTTTGTTAGCTATAAGAGATATTCTAGTTTAAAAATTATTACTGTATTGTTTATATATATAATTTAGCTTATTATTATTTTTTTTATCTCAAATCTTTAATTGAAAAACTATTACCTAATGAGAAAAAATGATCAACATCAACTAAAAAATTATGACATGCATTTAATTATACAAAAATTCATAATTGTAAATATCAAAGCTGATTTTAATAAAATAATAAAGTTATAAGTAACTTACTTTGTAATAGTGTTTCATTATTTGCAAAAGGCATAATACATTCATAACTATATTATAGTCCTTATTCTTGAGATTGGTAGTCACTTTGACCATCTAATGACAAAAATGCTTCTTTTTCTGTCTTGTATCTACTTTATATATATATTAGTTTTGTGTTTAACTAATGTTAGTTTTTTGTTAAGGTAGTTAAAAGTGATAAAAATCAATTGCAGTTCAGGTTTGTTTGTATTATTAGTAGTGAAACTAGCAAAGTTTGCTTAACATCTTTCCAAACTGTTAACAGCATGTATTACATATAGAGTTGCAGCCCAAACTTACTTGTTTGGAATTTGGCAAAATCCCAAATAGTATTTACTAGATTTTACAAAATACTTCTAATTTGTCATGATGTCAAACATTTCTGACATATAATTTTTATTATAACTAAAAATCCCAAATTTTATATATATAAAAATCAGGTTTGGGTCTTATTCCAAATAAGGTAATGTATCTAAAACTAGTACTACTTCATTCCTAGTTAATTGCTCTCTTAACAATTATACAAATAACTCATTATAACAACACCAAATTTTGATATCGACTACAGTCTTGCTAAAGATTAGTATTATAAAAAAAAATTAGTGATCACATGATCAATTGATTTTTCAAATATGATCGAATAAATTGATCATGATTATCATTAAAAAAACCTTGAAACAGAATTTTTCACATAGTATAACTCGATATTTATCATTTTTAAAGTGATAAAAGATGTTCAAAGAAAATTACTCGATCTATGTAAATAAGGAGAGTTAAAAAATTATTTTTTTTTTAACTTTTATTTTATATGCTAATTTTTATTTTGCAAATTTTTGTTTTTTGCTCAAAAGGTATTTAAAGAAATGTTACATTTTATCCTAATTATTGGATTGGTTTCGAAAAGGCTTTTATTTTTTAACTTCTTACCTTTGTATAGAGATGGGCCACACATGGGATCTACACAAAAACTTGGCATAATCCTGCATGGGCTTTTTTTACCTCGGTCTGCATTTCTATATAGAACTTTTTATTTATTTATCATTTTATATTTATATGCATATACTTGATTAAATTTTTTTTTGCCATTTGTAGTTCTTACTTACTATTCCTTGTTATAATCAATATAATCATTATTAAGCCAATCTTAAATAACATTATTATAACATAGATGTTAATAAATCGATATGACATTATTTTGAAATGCTAAATATATTTAAAATATATTATTTCAACAAAAAAGCATATTTCTAGTAATTATCTTTATATATATTTTTATAATTCATAAAAAATTAAAAAACTTTACTATATTCTGCAAATTTTGTGTGGCCACATGAAATTTTTAAAAAACTGCATTACTGTATTACTTTGAAGATAAAACAAAATGACTTATAATATTTTTATTCAAAAATAAAAGAAATTTGAATACTTTGAAAATATTTAATACAGTATTATTCACCTAAATCACTATTGCTCAATATATCCTGAACCAAAGACCTACTTTTAAAATCCATATTTACTTCTTCTTCAGCCAATATGATTTCTTTTTGATTATTGTTTAATCCAAATATCATATCTGATATATTCACCTAATTTTGAAAAACTATTGCAATTTCATTTGCTGTAAAGTTTACAACTTCTACTTCATCTTTCTTTTTATTACTATTTAAATCAGGACAATCAATTTCTGCAAAAATTATTTTATTAAACATACTATTGCATAGCTCTATATCCACAGAATTATTATCACAAAAATTTAATTTTTTTTTTATGTTTGAAACATAGAATGAGTAAATTTGTGCCATGCTTTCTAACTGGGAAACCTGAAGCCATATGTGACATCCTTTAATGAACCACTTCAAAATAGAGAAATTTTGTCCACAATTGTCTTGGAAGAGTACAATAGCAAACATGATTTTTGCTAATTCTTGTAAGTGTGTATATTCATCTTTAACAACTCCCCACTATATGTAAGATGTTAAATTATAAGAAAATTCAAGATCCCAAGATGTAACATTTGCTTTGTACTTAATTAATTAACCTATTAATTCATGACATTCTTTTTTACTATGATGTAAGTCTTTGTAGTAATTAACTGCTAGTTTACAAATATCATAAAATTTTTCTTTTTGTAGACCTTAACCTTGGTAGTATGGATGAAGAAAATAAGTCAGAACACATGAAGAAATATCAAATTGCCAATAACGATAATTGAATACTACAATAGCTAAAGAACAGAAATTGTTGCTAGAAGGTATTCTCTAAAAACAGCTGCTAATTGTATAATTCCTAAAAAACAATTAGCCAAACTTGCTATACAACTTTCAAGTAAAGTAATTATCTGTTTGACTGGCTTAAAAATTAAGGCTATCCTTTTGCAAGAAGTATAAAAAGTATTATTTTCATCACTTGCAATACCAAATACTTCTATGTTAATAAATATATCTGACTGCTTTTCAAGAATCTGAATAAAAAAAAAAAAGAAGATATATATTGGTATATATATTATAGTTTTAAAATAAAGCCCACCAAGTGAGTACTACAAGTTTACTGAATAATTTACTTGTGATAACCTATAGTACTCTTTGTATTGTATATATTTTTATTTGATAATATGCTATACAAAATTTTTAATAATTAAATTTAATTTTACAAACCTTATCAATTGCAGACCTAACATATATGATAGAATTTGTTGTATCATAAACTGATACCCAATATGTTTCACAATATGTTTTCAAAGACCCATCTCTAATATTTATTGACAAAATAGTGTCTTACAAAATCCAACTTGCTAGATGAGATTTATGAACAAATAAAACTAGCATATTAGCTTGTTTCAAAATTTCTTTAATCAAGTTATTTTTTACAAGATCAGCAGCTATTAGGTTTAGTGCATGAGCAATACAATGAATGCTTAAGATATAAGAATAATCATGATGATTAAATTGTCATGCATTGTGTACATTAGATCCATTATCTGTTACAACTGTAACAAAATAGTAAGAACTAATTTTTTCAATTATATTTGAAATTTTATTGCTAATAAAATTTCCTGTTTGATGTTCTCTCAAATAATCAACTATAGCATAAAAATATTCATAATGACTTGGAGTCATAATAATGTAGTTATAAATTGAATTGCTTCTTGAAGAAGTCCAACCATCAAGAGCTATGAATAAGATTAATTAGTATTATTATTATATAAAATAAAAATTGACAAATTATACTTATATAAAGTTAAATTATCTGGTTTTTGTAGCTCAGCTTCCATTTTAACAACAATTCATACAATTTCACCATTGAGTACAGAACCTAAGAGAGTATCTTTATGCAGCAGTATATAACCAGATTGCAAAAATTTTAAGAAATCTCGAAAATATAGGTTATCAATGATTGCAAAGAGAATTCTGCAGTATACAAAAGCTTTAAGTAATGCTTTTGTAATGTTTACAGATTGTTAAAAAGTTAATTTGTTAACATTTTGGTAATGTAATATGATTAATTGATTGGTTTTAGGTTTTTTTTAATAAAAAATTCATCATCTCTATCATCATTTGCTTTTTCGCCTCTTTTTACAACTTTAATTAACCATTTTCTTCTAATATCATCTGGTACTGGTCCTTTACAATGAAGTGCTAAATGTGCTTCTATGGTAGAAAGCTTTATATATTGCCACTTTCTCCTGTTACAATAATGACAACTTGCTCCAAAATGCCTATGCCTATTATCACCTCTTTTATCATAGTTATTCCAAATCGGCATCCTTGGTCTTCCTTCTTTATTTTTATCTGTTTTATGTTTTACAGAAGTTTTAATAGTTTCTGGTAGTTTGAAACTGGAAAATTTATTAATTGACATGATTGTTTTATTTATAATGATTGTTTTCAATATTTTTTTTTTTTTTTTTTTTTTTGCTTATGCTAAGGCTTTTTAGTTATGGCATCTACTGCCTTTATTGTGAATTCAATTATGATTACATAACTTGTACAAGGTTACCTCTATACTACACTAGCAGATAGCAGCACAAGCTCCTGTACACCTAATTAGATGCCATCTAACCTAACCTTGACCTCCCTGTCTGTATGTCTGTCAGGCCGTTACACATTTCAGAGTATGTCACCTGACTATAGGGCTCCAGGAGGCCCCCTGCTAACTAACTACCCATATTTAATCTTTGCTAACAGGGCTTTGCCCTTGCAGAGTTCATCCAGACCCCAGTACTGACTTCACAGCATATCCCTAGTACTTTAGTATACCTCTGTTTCTGACCTCAAACTTCCAATCCAGATAGCCCGATAGGACTGTGACCTGTCTCTGGTACCCTAGAGTCTGCCCCCCAAGGTCCTTTTCCTCTGGTTCGAGTCTTCCGGCAGCCTGGTTGGTGGATGATTGTTTTCAATATTAATTGCAGATTAATGAAATAAAAATGCTAGTATTATATATATAAGTTAAAGAATCTTTCACATTTAGGTAATTAAGGTTCTAAAGATGCACAAGATATACATTGTTTATACAGGTTTTATATGAATAAATTTTTTTTATCAGATGTATTTTCTTTTTTCTTTGTGAAAAAATTTTAGTTAATGGCATGAATCAATCTATAGACCAAAATAATTTAATTAACTAAATATAACTACAAAAGTTATTCATATAAAGGTATGAATAATTTAAGAATGCTTATTATTATTATTACTATATATTTAATTACATTATTAAATTTTTATTACTTTTAAAAAAATACATTATTTGTTTTGCATAATGAACAAATAAATTAATTCTTTAAGTTCAATAAAATCAATATTAGCTTTTTTTTTCTTGTAGCTACATAAATTAGATTATTAGATAATAAATGCGAATTAATAATTATGCCAAAGTTTGTATTGCTGCTAGAAATTCTTATATGCAGCTAACATTTGTTTTGTATAGCCTGATTCAGCAAACCTAAAATATTTTGCAATAAATTCTTATGCTGATTTCAAATGAAAAATTAACACAATTTAAAGTTTTGAAGAGAAATTTCCATCTTATATGCACCTAATCGAATAGGTTAAAATCAGGTTATTAATTTAACATCCATGAACTTAATATTGCATATTAAAACAATTATTTACCAAATGTGACAATTAAATAATTTAATTGAAACCAGTTTTATCAGGATATCAATAAAATTTTGTAAGAAGGATTTAAAATGAATGTTAACTCTAAATTTTTCTATCACTTAAAATTCAAGAAATTTGCTTGTATAATATAATTAGATGGCCAATTACACATGTGTTTTTATTGCATAAATTATAATCAGGGTTTTCTCAGTAAAAGTTGCAATGATAATACATAATATCAAATATGAATTTCTAAAATTTTGCCATGTTATTTTTTACACAATACCCAAACAAGATTTTTATGTGTTACTGGCTTAGCTATATTTATTCTATAATCTATGATATTTGAATTCGATCTTTAAATTATCAATATTTAACTTGGATATACCTGATTAAAAATCAATTTGTCAAATAATTTAAAATTTTAAGATTACATTATCAAATACATGAATATTTATTTAATGAATTAATGATTTTTGAGTTTGATACTATTAACTGAAATAGGATATATATTTGGGTTTTAGTTACAAACCCAAACTAGATAGAAATATCCAAACCTAAACCTAAACTAAGTAGTAATATTATAACCAAAAAAAGAAGTTTGGATTACAACACTAATTACATGATTTTGAAAAAAAAACAGTATATTCTGGGCCTATAATTTTTAGGTTAAATGATGAGAATATAGTGCAAAAATTACTAAATAGAATAATGTTTAGACCAATATTTTTAAATATTAGAAATTTTGTTGTTGTAGTATCAGAAATCAAAAATAAAACCTTTATATTATTGATACTAACAAAAAAAAGTCAAAGAAACCTAGCTTTACAAAAAATAATTAATAATATATTTACTCTTGACTTTTATAAAAATGATCAAATATTATAGCATTATAAAGACAAATCTGCTAATAGTATATAGGCTTAAGCAGAAATTACAATGCATTTAAATAGTGAAATACTTTTTGGTTTCAATTATCCTTAGTTCAACTTGTGATTCAAAAAAATTCAACTAGTTCTAATTTAGTTTGCACTTTTCAAGAATAGAATGATTTTTATAAAATGGAAATAATATTCAATTAACAAATAAAAAAAAGAAAGATTGCAACTAGCTCTTGAATTAATTAGTAAAATTTGTATATTTCCTGAATGCATCAAGAAAATTCTATAATTAAATTTTACCATGCATTTAGTATAATATATCCATCTACTTTCAAATTAAATGAGGCTGAATTGAATGCTTGAAAAGCAATATTACAAGCATGCAAGTGCATTGATATAATGCCCTATTCTAAATTTAATAATAAAAAAGAATTTTGGAGCCAATTAAATAATTCAACTAATAATAAAACTAACTTGAAAATGCTATATAAATTTGAATACTTATAAACTAATTTAGAAAATTCAGAAGATTATATTATTACTAACAATTATAAGTATAAAAATATTTTTTAGAACAGTTTTTGAAATGCTTTGGCATCTAATAAACATGGTCAAAATGAAAAAGCTTAAATCTTATCTATTATAGCAGATCAGTTTGCATATTTGGAGATTTGTGAAAAACTTCAGATTGGTTTAAAATTGATATTATACTTATTAACAAATTATTTACAATATTATAATTAGGTAAGTATAAATATAATAGATCTTGCATATAAACATTCTTGGTCATAGATCTGGTGCATTACAAATTGAAAAACCAAAACAAAATAATTGTATTCAAAGAATGAATAAAATTAAAGATAGTTAATTTTTAGCATTTTTTCAAGATAAGAACAATATTGCACAAAGTTCTTATCAAATTGATGCCAAACTGAGGTTTCTATTTTGTATATGCAAGATCAAAAACAAGCTCTGTAGACAAAATTTAGTGAAGAATGTCTAAATAAATGCATCCAACTTCTTTTATGACTAGATTAGCCAACTGTAGTTATATTCGATATCATAAATATTTAGGAGGGCTTTGTATTATCTGTAATGAATATGGATTTGAAGTTTTTGAAAGTTTGTTAGTTCTCATATAACAAATATTTACAGCAAAAGAAAAATTATTAAGTTATTAAAAATAACAGAAAATAAATAAATAAAAATAAAATATAAAATATAGATAATAAATAAAAAAGGTTACAGTATAATTCTCTGAAAACTATTTATCTAAAAGTTTATTTACCTGACATCACATAAGATGAAAATTTACTAATAAATTATGCTTATAGCTAACTAAATGCTAAATTGTTATCCAAAGTGATGTCAAATAAATGGACTATTGAGTAAGTAGTTTTCAGGAAATTGAGCAATAATTATAAAAAAAGTAATAAATTGAATTAAAAATAAAATAAATATAAGAATAAAATAAAAATAAATAAATAAATAAAATTTACAAAAAATAGTATTAATAAAGCCTATCTAATTATAACTAAATAAAATAAATTATCAATATTATACTATATAAAAAGATCCAATTATTTTATGAATTGAAAACTTACATCACTACTTAAAAAGAAATTTTAAGCATTATTTGAGAGTTAAGTCAGATAGAAAAACTTTATATAATAACTATATCAATTATTGTTTGCTATTTGCCTTTGAAAAATGTTTAGATAAGCATGATTTGTACTATCAAGATTGCTCAGAATTTTTTAATTTTTTTGTTTTCATAAAAAACTATATTAGTAAAATATATATTTCCTAATTACTAGAAATACAGAAAAAACTAAAATACTTCTTTGCACACTATGCTCAAAAATATTATTTAAATACATAATACAAAGCATTATTAGAAAGTCTTGATTTGAATAGTGCTATTATGATTGCAAACTATAAGATGAGAATTCTCCTAAAAACTACATGAGAAACTAAGCAAGAATTTTTCAGTAAAAGAAGTTGGATATTACATATAATCTTAGTTATAACTAAAGAAAATTATAATGTAAGTTTAAATATTAGTGCATACAATCATTAGTCTACAGATACGAAACAAGATGCCTAGTTTACTGCATCTTGTTTTGAAGCTATGTTTAACAATATTGAAAAAAAACCCAAATAAATAAAAGTAATTTCAAACAATAGGCCACATTACTATAATAGTAAGTTAATGGCAATTGTGGCCTATTGGTTTAACTGATATAATATTAAGATTTATAAATAGTTATTCTTGGAACTCAGTAAAGCAAAAACCACAATTGACTTACATTATTTTGTAGTAAGTCTTCAATTATTTATAAGAATAATTTATAATGAAAAATAATATATACTTTTTCATTTTTTAGATAACTCATGCTATTAAGTGATATGTTTACATTGGATATGAAATAACAAAAGAATCTAATATAGTAGCTGCTATATATAATTTAGCAGGCACATGCTTAACAAATATTAAACCTAATCAGAATCTAAAAAAAAATAATTTAGTTGATAAAAAAAAAAAAAAAAAAAACATATATAGAAACTATTACTGGAATATTTAAGTATAATTACTAGCAATGGCCAATTGCAGATTCATTGGCAAGATATATTGTAGCATATCCATTGTCATATTTTGAAGCTCTAGCTTATTTTTCTCCTATTGTAATTGTTAGTTTGTATAATAAAGAACTTTATTGTTCAGAACCAAAAGTCTTAATGCATACTGAACCATGTTCAAAATAAATGATGGCTTTACTAAAACCCCAAGATAAGAAAAATATAATTTGTTTGACTAACACCAATATTTATACAAATTTTATATATAGAAAACCAGAACCTAACTATAACAGAAATAGAAGATACTATGATGATAGATAATGAAAAAATCTTTTATTATAAAATAATTTTTATTATTTAAATAAATCTAAGATACAAATATAATTCTATAAATACAACTAGAGATGATAATATAAAAGAAAGTAAGTATTATAACTGATAACATATATCATTTTTTCTTATTAAGCAACAAATATTGAAAATATAGTATAAGATACTTGCATGATCATTGAACATATGTTCAATATTGACTTTTTTTAGAATAAAGAATAGGCATTATATGAAAATTTGATCTATAGTAATCGAGGTAGGAGTAAACAGATGTCAGATGCAGTCAAAAAAATGCTTGAACAAATGTTTTTATAAGGGAATATTTATGCTAAAAATTAGATAAATGCTGTTGATACATATAGTAGGCTGAAAGAATTTGCTGATAATAGAAAGTTAGAGTAAGATAAAATCCCAAAAGTCTTCACAATTCAAGGATGTATATCATGATACTACAAAACATTCTTAGAACATACCACAAAAACTGTGTTAGACTCTAATTTTGATAATAACTTTTCATCAAGTAGTATATAATTGAAATAAAATGCATAATATTTTTGTTCTCTAATTTCAACATATTTACTCATTTAGTTTTTTTTTATTTTTTTTTCTTGTTTCTAATTTCAATTTAATTTATTTATATGTCAACTAGTTTTTTTTATAGCTTTTTGAAGATATAAGAAAAGAAAAAAATAAATATAAGTTTTATCAAATGTCTTAAAAAAAAACAAGTACCAGGTAAATTTGGCTAATTGAAATTGCAATTTATACAAATCAATACTTATTTTTGAATCAGAAATGTCATTTTACATTAAATAAAACTTTTTAGCAAATGATCGCTATAATCTAAGACTTGTTTACAATATTGTTTATGCTCAAGTGCATTTAAATATAATGAAATTATCCTTATATTAGTAGTTGCAAAATCATGTTAGCTTTGAACTAAAAAAAGATTATCAGATATTATTTAGTAGTGATCTGCATTACATTTTATTAATAAATTGATTCTTATTTAGAAACAGTATATCAATTAATTGTTTGAATAATTATTCTTTTTGCTTTCTTACAGATTAGCACTTCTTTTATTTTGCTATTTAGCCAGATCTCTAATGCTCTTATAATTTTGTTTTTCAATTTTTCTATTATTTTATTATGGCCAAAAGTAATTTTTCTTTTTTCTTCTTTAGTTCTTATGTTTATTACTATAAACTTTAATTTGAATTTATTTATTTCAATATTACTTACTTTAAAGAACTTTTCTACAATGCTCAGAATTTTTAACATCTGTTTTTTGCTATTTACAATCCATGTTGTGTTATCTGTATATGCAATTGCTGCTTGTTTATATTTTGTAATGTTGTTACTATATATTCTTTCTGTTATTCCTTGCTTTACTACATAGTCTAATGCTTCATCTTTTTGTATTTTTTCTAGTAATAGATTATAGAAATAATACTAAATTAGTGATAAGATTACCTTTTCTTGGTTTATTCCATCTTTTATAATTATTTTTTTTTGTTAAACTATAGGCTGTGATAATTTTGAAATATATTTACAAAAGAGGTTACTTATATATTTTCTTGTTTTTTGTAAAATTTTGACTTTTTTTAAAGTTTATTCTAGACTTTTTAATAGAACTGAGTCAAATATCTTCTTTATATCTTGTAACAGTATTCAAACTTTTTTGTTCTTTTTTTGTGTCTTCTTTATTATCATGCTTAATATATATATAGGTTGCTCTGTTGAGTTGTCTAACAAATCTGCAAAGTTTGGCCTTTTATGTATATGTTTTTCTGTAAACATTCTGGTTAGTCTTTTTGTTACTACTTTTATGATATCTTTTTTAAAAGTCTTAATTAATGCTATTGATCTAATGTTGTTTAAACAGTAACTTCAGTCTATATTTTTAGGATTAAATATATTTGTATTATTTTTTATTTCTTTAATATATCTTTTTTTTTCAGAATCAAATTTGCAAAGACTTTAAAGATTTTTTGTAACTTTTTCTCTGCACATTTTATTATTATGTAGCTTATATCTGATATTCCTGAAGCTGTATTCATTTAAGCTCTCTAAGTATGTCTTTTTATTCTTTTTTTTTTTATCTTTTCTTCTAATTTCTTATACTAGGCCTTATTGATCAACTCTTTCAGGTTATATACTTTTTTTCTATTATTTTAATATTTCTTTTAGTTTGGTTTTTTATTTTCTAAATTGGTTTTTGAAATAAGCTATTAGACTGTTTAGGACTGCATTTGGCTCAAATATTGGTCAACTTCTTTTTTGTCTTGTATTATAAATCTGTTCAGAACAATTTTTTTATATAATCTATTTGGTAAGCTAGCAAACATTTATTCTTGATTTGTTTTAATTATTTTATATCTTTTGTTTATATTTTTTTCTATCTGTTTCCTTTGTGTTCATTTCTATTTCTTTTTTTTTTACTTTAATTATTTTTTGCCAATCTTTAATGTTATCTATCTAGACTTTTAACTATTGCTTTTATAGTTTTGATAATGTTACTTCTAACTTCTTTCTTATAATTTTAAGTCTGTTATTGTTTCAACTCCTTTCTTCTTTTATCTCTTAATTCTTTTTACTTTTTGCTCTTTTGATTATTTGTTTAAGTTCAATAAAATGTTTATGTTTTTTATTTTTTCTAATTTTTCTTTTATTCAACTTAGTGTTAAATATTTTCTTTTTTGGAATTTACTTGTTTGCTACTTCAATTATAGCTTTTTCTATTGCATTTCTTATTTGAAATATTATCAATTAAAACAGTTCTTTTTTTTATATTTTTTATTTTTAAATAATTGAGTTTAATTACTTGTTTTAATTTTTGAACTGATCTAGAATTAATAAATTTCATAACTTTGATTAGTTAAAAATAATAGATAATTATTAGATAATCTTATAATATGTTGATCTTAAGTAGTCTCATATAATTTTTCTTTAACATTATATTAAATTTTTATTATACAAATTAACTTTTATTTATAATTGAAAAATATTAATCATGCCAAAATTTATAAGAATTTAATAAAAACTATTTTTCAAAAAATTGTAAATATAATGACTGTTTTAATAAATAATATTCTATCTAATTTAGCACATCTGTACTATATTCTGTTTCTATATTATTATCTTTTAGTTGTTTTAATACTCTTTTATATTTTAGCTGATTTTGTAACTCTCTTGCATAATTTTTCCAATCTTCTTGTTTTGCTTTTTTATATAAATATTTGTTCTTGTTTAGTCTTTATATTTAATTTCTACTTTGCTGCAGTTTGCAATTACATGTTTTACTTATAATTCCATTGTTATTATCTTATAATCACTATTAAACCTTCTGCTTCTTTTATATTAACTTTTTGCAAATCTGACACAAATATTTCTGATAGCCAAATATAATCTATTCTTGTTACAGCCTTCTGACTTGACTATGTTTATACTTCTTTTATTAGATGCAAGTTTTTGTATGAGTCTATAAAGTTCTGTCTTTTGAGTTAGCTGAATATTGGTAGTCTTTTATAACTTGATGTTTGCAAATGTTGTTTATCTAGTATATTATCTACTATGTAGTTGAAATCATCTAGTATAACTACTTTTGTATATTTTTTCTTGTTACTATCTTTACAATTCTTTGCTAAATTTTTTTACTAATTAATTTATTGTTTAATAGAATATATACTTCTAATATTACTAATTCTAATTGTTTGAAATATAATTTTATCTCTAATATGTATTTACTAATTTTTTTAACTGCTCTTGTATGCTTTTTTCACTTTAAATTTATTAGTATTCCCATACTCAATTTTTTTTTCTTGTCTACTACTATGCTAGTTCAATAACTTTTATACTATATATTACAACTATACAATAAAACTTTTTTTCTTTTTCTGTAATATTCATTTCTATTATTCTTACTATTGTGAATTCTTTTTTTGTTTATATCTTGTTTTTATATTTTTTGTCTTTTTTTTTTTCTTTGTTTTTTTTTTATTATAAACAGAAGATGGTTCTATATTTTCTTCTTAAAAAATTCTTTTTTTACTATTCAAAACCTCTTCAATCTTCTGATCTATGCTTATAAATTTAATTGGTTCAGTTTAGAAGTGGTAGGCCCAACTTTTCTAAGCTGTATCTCTTGTTTTTTCTAATCTTGTAAGTCTTTTCAAAATTTGGCTTAAGATATTATTCATATATAAAAATTCTTTTTATGTTTGAGTTTTAGTTTTAGCTATTTTTTTTCTACAGAGTTTTTCTTTTTCTTTAAGTAATTCTATATGTTTTGCTTTATTTTCTGCAGCTTAATCTTACATGTTGCCTCTGCTTGCTATTGTCTAATCTTTTATTCTTTAACTTTTCTCTTTTTTTACTCTTGTTTATATATAACTTGATTTTTTGTTTTTTTTCTTTACTGTTGTTCTTTTCTGTGTTAGAAGTTTGACTAAATCTTTTCTAGTTTTTTTAATTTTCTTCTTTAAGGCTTTTTTTTTATCTTGTTTTTTTTTTCTAATATAGTTAAAAATTGTTATATATAAATGATTTTAATTAAACTATCTTTATATTTTTTTCAGTTACAAATATAATTGTTGCAGTTTTTTTTGGTTTCTATTTCTATTTGGAGGTATATAAACAGATTTAATTTCTTTATTTTTTAAGCTTAATAATAGTAGAACTTTTAAGTTATTTCTTGGTAATTCTGTCAGTTTTGTTATATATTTTTTTTGTCTTTTTCTTACTTTATAGTTCTCTATTCTTTTGATTATTTATACTAATTTATTATTATTTACTAATATAGTCTACAGAACATCTTTATATGTTTTTCTATTTGTACTACTGCTAAGATCTTATACTTTGATCTTTTAATTCTTATTATATAGGCTTTTCTAATTTTTCTACAAATTTATTCTAATTTTTTTTTTTTTCTTTAAGCAGTTATGCTAGTATTTTATTAAGATTTTGAAATTACATTTGTAATTACATAAATGTTCTTAACAACTAAATCTAGCATCATCTAACCACCTTAATAATGCCTAAATGCAACCTGCTATATTACTTCAAATAAAATTAAACTACTTGTCTAACTACTTAAAGTTTATAATAGAAGGGTTTTTTCTCTTTTACAACAAGTTCCAACATTGTTTTCTGTGTTTCTGTTCTTATTGTTTTTTTTTCTCTTATCATCTCTTTCTTTTCTTCTATCTTTTGCTAATTTGCCTTTTTTTTTTACATAATCTTATTTTCTTTTTTTCTCTTCCTCTTTTTAACTTATTTGTTATTCCTACTTTCTTTTTTTATTTACTAATCTTTTTATATTGAACTCTCTATACTTGTTTGTAAAATGTATTTCAGACTGTATTTACTATTACACTTGTAAATTGCTGTTTTGCCTTTATGTTTAGAAGCTATATATAAAGGAATTCAGACTTTTTCCTCTTTACTAAATCCCTTTTAGGCTGTTGTGATAGTCACTTTTTGAATTCTTTTTCATAAGTTTCTTTGTTCTTTGTATACTGCTAAATGCATCTGTATTTTTTTGATTTTATTTTTGTATACTTGGTATTCAGTTGTTGTATACATA